GATTTGGCAAGCATCAAAATATTCATTTTTCATATTGTTTTTGGGGTAGCAAATGGCATATTTTGAACTTTTACATTGCTTATATATATATATCAAGTCCAGAGAAAAGTTCTAAAGCTCATTTTTTGTTCAGAGTGTCCTAGAAAACCTCAAAATACTTTAAACAAAGCGAACAAATCAATTGTTGGAATCTGCTTAATAACAATTTTTGGAGCAACTTTGGGCCTAGTCACACGCAGATCCTTTAACAGGGGTCCTTGAATCAGATTATGCAAAAATCCGAATCGGAAAATTTTTCCGAGCAGATGTTCCGATATTATCTGGTACTATTATCCGAGCTCTGTAACTGATTACCAGTGCATTGGCGCAAGCAGTGTGGGGGAGGGGCCACTTGTCAATATCGAGGCTGGTCCGCAAGTCCACGTAGCACAAAAGCCACAAAACACTCTTTCATCTGCTACCTTGACGTTAAACATATGATTTTATTAGTGTGTTTAATGTTGATATTGTCGCCACTGCTACATTGGCAATCCTGGTCGCGCATGCGCATTAAATGCTCATTTTCTTAAGTTATGTTAAGTCTTGCATGAACCCACGATGAATCTGTCACTCAGAGCCAGCAGTCTTAACCGGCGGTCTTGTCGCTCAGTGGTCCCTCTGGGACGTCCAGAACCCCTCGCTCGCTGTCCTCTGTTTTCCTGAGACCACACTCGTTCACATTGCAGTATACTGCGTAAGGATCTGTTGGTCTTCCTAGATACTTCTCTTATCGATAGACCGACTTCACGCAACCCGACAATTGGACCCCTCTCAAAGTCACTTAGCTGGGACACCCGGCGAATTCTACGCACTTTAAGTATTTTGAGCAATCACAAAAAGGCTTTTCAATAAGCTACACGAAATTTAAGATTTAACTGACACCGTAAATGTACGAAAACTGAATGCTTATTTATCACCAAACAATACACGCAGCCACCACAAATTCTTGAATTCTAATAAACATACGTAGGTGTTTACCTTTTTTTGGTAACTCAGTATATATGAGGCGATAATGAGTAGCATACAGTACTTTTCAAAGACCCCTTGCTTACTCTGAATGGGTCGAGTTAGCAAGATGAAATTGGGTGTGATGAAATGTATGCATAATCACATTACTTTAGCGTAAAGGTGGCTGCTAAAAATTCCAAGATTATGGCTGGGTGCCATCATAGAACAATTTCTTAAACTGGAACGGGGGGTCACGTGACACCTCATTTTAAAGTATTTTATCACAATGCAATATAAAATTGCAAATTTGACTGGCATTGAGCGATTTGTACATTGAATTGACCTATAGAATCAACAATTAACTATCAAAATGCTAAAGTATCTTATGTCAATCCCCTGCTTTAGGAAGATATGACATATTGTGTTGGGAAAAATTGTACTGGAAATTTAACAACATAGGTGACACTATCTCCCACATAGTTTTCACTTGTACCATATCTTACATAGAGGTAAAGACACCAACATAGATGAAATCAAACAATAAACAAATCAGTTATAAATTGCAGCAACAGAAAGATACAGCAATGACCCTCTCAACATTTTTAATAGAGAAATTATAATAATTGTACCATCAATAGATAGATAGATAGACGTAGTACTGCCAAAAACTCATTATAAGTAGTTTTAAAAATGTACAAGTGATTTTTATACCTACATAGTAAGTATAAAAATCTGCTAAATAAGATCATGTCCTACCTACACCACAGTTATAAAGCATTCCACCTCAAGATCTAAGTTATTAATAATCTTTTCATCTAACATGGAACAAGCTATAATGGGTACATTCAGTTGCTCTCAGCTTCTAAAACTGTTAGCAATGCTTGAAGTACAGCTTTCTAGTTTGCTAGATGTAATCTAAATGAATTACTTTAAAAGTTTTGAACAGCTTCAGACTGATTTACAGAAGTTGTGTATCTAAGCTGTGCTAGCTGCTTTTCAGCAGATTCACTCAATTGCAAGAAATATTCAGCAATTGAGCAGTCATACTTTATGCAGCACTAATTTGTAGCAGCTGTATGCAATTGAATGTCCAATTGCAATATTCAAGCACTCCCAGCTGCAGATACGGCTTAGTAAGCAGTTCTGTTCAATGCAAGATTTTTGATAGAGGCTGCTTGAATCAATTTACAACTTGATTCTCATTGTGTGTGACAATTGTCCATGACTATTCCACTTTGATGGAAATGAAGAAACATTGAGCACTGTATCAAGCAACTATAAAAATGAATTAGCTTTTAGTGATATTGATGGAAATAAAGAATAAATGAAAAAAATTGCTGTAGCTAATGATAATCATTTTTTTATTATGCTAGGTTGTGTTTTGTGTTGATCTGAGATTTGAACTGGTTTTGACAGCTATCAGCCATGCATTCAGCAAAAACAAAGGTACTAGCTAAAAGCGGCCTAAACATGTTAAATAGCAGAACCCAGCAGCTGAAAAGCTAAATTTGCCCATTGTTACCTGTTATTTAGGGAAAGTTGTAAATTTGATTCATACTTTGTCAGCTCTGAAATAATGGAGTTGGCGGAAAATGTACTATCACATTTATTTTCGAAATCTTGGAGATGATGTTTGTCTTAACCAGTTAAAGAAACAAAGTAAAATTGCTATGGGTACCAGGACAAAGGTCACAAAGTTCCAGAGCCTTTCTGTGGCGTGACGAGAACACGCATCAAACAGTCCATAAGAAATTGACCAAGAAAAAGTCCCTAGCATGTTGGAATATCCAATTGAGGCAAAAGAGTTCATCAAAGAATGAAAGCTCACATTTACAGAGGACCTACGTGGATTCAATAGGAAGGCCATAAGGACCATAGTAGGTCTCCTGATAGGACACTGTCTCATCTAAATCAACTTAATATGAGACTCTTGCATCTGGCAAAAGAGTCCACTGGCTATTTCTGCAGAGAGCATGGGGAAACCCCAGTGTATCTGCTGTGTCACTGTGAAGGCCCGACAAGGTCCTATGTCAAGGCTATGGAGTCTGATCAAAGGATCAAGGCTGGACATCGTGCTTTAGAAAGTATATAGGGGAGTCACAATAGATCCACCTGGGTCACAGTGACGTCAAGGCTGGCAAGCCAACCCCTTTCTTCAGTAATCAGTAATAACCATTTTGAAAATACTAAATCCAAATAAACACAAAGTTAAAGTAGCAACTACATTCGGTAACTCTCTACCTTAGCTACACCAGCCATTTTTGATGAAATAGTGATTTCAGACCCTACTTTTTGGGTGTAGATGAAAGAAATGGGACTGAAAATGAGTGCAAACATGAAAGTTTTGAAATATTTTACTGTATAAATAGGTAGAGTAAAAGGAGAGCTGCTACCTATGGAAATGTATATTTTCATTAATTTTCTTATATTTCTTCAATATGGCAATGTTGCAGTATGTATAGGATCCACTCCATTCTGCACTTCTTATGATTAAGGTCTTTATACCATTCAAAACCGAGATAATATCAACATTATTCTGCAACTCATTTGTGCGCATTTTTGATCTCATTTGCATCATTTACCACCCAAACCTAGTGTCTGGGATTTGGATGGCAAAACTTAAAGAGGCTGGTGTTGCTAAGTTAGAGTATTACCCTACATTCCATAAGAAGAGGTCTCAACAAATAGTACCTAGTTCTATATGTTTTTTTTTTATTGCTGTATACTGCGATCAAAAAGTAAGGTGAAATTGTCATTTAAAACTCCCAAGAATTAGGAAGGCAGGTAAATTCATTTTTCCTAGGTTGGTAGCACTGTCTATAACATTTGACAAGCATCTGTTTGTAAAAAGTTTTAATTCTCTCCCAGTTACACGCGTTTTTATAAATAACCAAAAGTGAATTTTTCGATTTTCACAATGTGTGATTTTGTTGAGCAAAGAACTTGCATCAAATTTTGATTGCGGAACGAAAATTCTTGTGCGGACACGTTGAAAATATTGCGGTATGCCTTTGGTGATCAAACTATGGCACAAAAAAACGTTTATAAGTGGTACAAGGACTTCAAAGCGGGCCAAAAATGCGTTGAAGACGCGCTCTTAACAGCCATCAACGTCTACCGACGAGGACCACGTCCAACAAGTCCAAATTTTTTTGCTTGAAAATCGTCGATTGACAATTAGAGACCTCGCTGATAGTGTTGGAATATCATTTGGCTCAGCCCAAACCATGTGAAGGATGTCTCGATTGGTGCCAAAATCGCTAAATTTTTTTGTGTGAAACTTTGCTGTCTGACTATCAGGACCACTTGAAATGCATCGTTACTGAAGACGAGACTTGCATTTATGTATATGACCCTAAAACCACCGACCAATCCAGCGAATATCGTGCAAAAGGTGAAGCAAGACCTAAAAGACCACAGCAAAGTCAATCGAAAATCAAGGTCATGTTGACAGTTTTCTTTGATTATTGTGGTGTGGTGCACTATGAATTCCTTCCGACAGGTCAAATTGTCAACAAAAAATATTATTTAAGCATTATGCGTCGTTTGCGTGAAGCTATTTGTCTGAAACGGCCAGAATTATGGGCAAACAACTCTTGTTTCCTTCATCACAATAATACACTATATCATACTGCATTGATTCTTCGCTACTTTCTTGCCAAAAACTCAACTCATATCATTTCGTAACCACCATACTCACCTGATTTGGCTCTGTGCGACTTCTGGCTATTCAGCAAAGACAAAAGGCCAATGCAGGGACGCCGTTTTGGCACGACTAAGGAGATAAAAACCGAATCGAAGAAGGTCTTGAAGGCTATACTGGAAAAAGACTATTCAGAATGTTTCGAGGACTGGAAAAAGCATTGGCAAGAGTACATTTTATCAGACGGGTATTACTGAGGGATGAAATTGGTTTGGAAGCATAAAGAATTTATATGTTATAAACAATTTCACCTTACTTTTTGATCACAGTAGTAGGTATAAACTAAAGAAAAAATGGTCAAATTACTTACTTGTTACTTTTTCCCTAGTGAAGTCCTGGTCATTGTTCTCAACCATTTCGAAGCTGCCTGCTGAGTTGATAGGGTCATCTATAGATAGAGCAAATAAAGTTGTACATTCAAAGCAAAACTTATAACATTCATGCTGTAACATTCAAACTGTTTATAGTGAGAAAGAATGTTGTATATCTTGCACTAAATTGACCAGGTTAAATTACGCTGATATGAAGCAGCTTCTTGAAAGGACTACCTACTCCAAGGATTCCTGATTGAGCAAGATGAAACCAAGAACAGAGCTACAGGGGATCGAGAACATAGCAAGTATCCGACATCCTACTATCATATTCCTCACAAAAGACAATGATTTTCAACCTTGAAAACACTGGAGCCCCTGCCTCGGTTGCCCCTGAATATCTCCGTTCCTGTATGAAACGCCCCTTACAGATTTTACCTCCGTTCATCACGGGCACCGCTACCGCAGCTGGCTTAACTTCATCCTCCAGGCCAGCAAGTTCATCCTGTTCACGAGCTAGAAATTCTGCAGCTGGGTCATCGTCAGAGCCTGACATTCTAGAATGTATAAATTACAGTAATTTCTGCAAATGTAAATTAAAACTGTTGAACTTCAAAACTCTGAGACACCTCTGAGAATTGCAACCACATCCACAAGTATATTTGTCAACTAAACGTCAGATGTCACAGTTATTTGTCGTCACACGCACAAAAAGGATTTTTTCGCGAGTCCACGGTGTAGCTCCGTGCAATACCGGGAACCGATACAAAATTTTCGCGAAGAACGGGAATAGGGGAAGACGGATGTGACGTCTCCGAATGTCAAAAAATCACGTGGTACGGGTACCCGCCAAACGTCTGTGAGGTACTAGCGGGTGACAGGTCTTATGTCAATTTCGTTGTTTAAAAAACAGGCATCTCAATTGAAAATTTGTCTTCGCAGTGCTGAAAATTGAGTTAAATTGGGAGGCTGATCCTGATCCTTCACATGTCATGGATTTGAAGTGAATTGTAAATATGGAGTAATAATAGTTTGTCGTAATTACTGTTTTACTTTCATGGTCTAAAAGTCGAAAAACCCCAATCAGAAAAAACTTGCAGGAGAAAGATTTTACAATAACAAGTGTCGTTATAATGGTGCGTTTCCATATGAGCACGCACGAACTGAGCATAAGCGCACGCATTCCTTCGCGTGCGTGGAGAGTGTTTAAACTGGAATTCATTTTTCAACGCAAGGGCTGATCCAGTTGTTTGCGTACGAGGTTAATATGGAGAATAGACATATAGCCGCGGCAACATTTATTATACTGTATAATTCAATTAAAATAAAAGAAGATCGGAAACGAAAGGAATTAGTATTAAACAGACTGCATGATCAATTCGGAAATTTTACAAGAATGACCAAAGCTGACTTTCAATACCTGCTAACTTTGGTAAGACCAACAATAATAAAAATTGATACACAGTTTCGAAAATCTATATCACCACTACTCTTGCAAGAGTTTTAGAACTTTAATATTATTCCATTTCATCATTTACTGGACTAAATGCAAACAACTCTTTAATCCTGTGCGCCGCGTTGTCGTTTCCGTCCACACTGAGCATTCGCAAACCCATTAATTCCTTTGAGACCCTTGACAACAGGCGGATCGCGTTCGCTGTTGCTTGCGCACATGAAGATACAGGGTGAGCGTGCGCGCATAGCCGTTTACACTTGAGCATTCGCGGTGGATCAGTCCGTGCGTGCTTAGATCTAAACGCAGCTTAAGACTGTATAAAATTTAAACGTTCTAAAAATAAAGTTACACAGTATTCCAGAATAAAATTTCATCTGTCAATATACTGAGTACGCTATTTCATTACCAATAAGTGACTTACAAACGCACCCTGTCAGGATTGTTGTCAACAACTTGACATAACTGTGGACTGGGCTGCGTTCGTAAATTGTTACAAAGTATACTTTGTACTACTCTGTAACAATTGTAGCGTTCGTAATTGTTTGTCGTACCTGTTCCATCCATTCGGAAATAAAACAAAGTAATCCTTCTGGAACTCCAAAAGTGCACTTTTCTTCCCGAGTTCAAAACCTTAGTAATAAGAGTGATGTCACCTGTGATTTTCATGGTTCATTGCTTGTTTATTTCGTTATTAAAAAGTGCTCAACATTGGCAGAATATATATATTTTTCACGATATGAATTAGTTGCTCCAAATCCATGGTGTTTCTTACAATAAATAAAATGGTCCCAGAAAACGTGGTTAGAAATTAGTCAGATGTCATCAAGTGTCATTATATGACTCTGTATTACAGAGTCATATGTCAAAATTATTACAGAGTCTGTAATAATTTTGGTGTTCTAAAAATAAAGTTTCACAGTATTCCAGAGTAAAATGTCATCTGACAATCTTCATTCCATTACTGGGCTGCGTTCGTGAATTGTTACAGAGTGTACTTTGTAATACTCTGTAATAAATTTAACGTTTGATATTGTTTGCCGAACCCGTTCCAAGCTTTCGGAAATAACAGTAATCGTTCTCGAACGTCAAACGTGTACCTTTCTACCCGCGCTTAAAACCTTGGAAACGAGGGTGTTGATACATGCCATTCTCATGGTTTTCTGTTTGTTTATTTTATGATCAAAAAGTGCTCAAAGTTAGCAAAATATATATTTTGCACGATAAATGCGCTACCCCGTACCCATAGCGTGTCTTACAAAAAAAAAAGTTAGCAGAAGTCGTGCTTAGAAATTAGTGGGCGGTCATCAGATGTCATTACATTGCACTCTAATAATTTAGACGTTCTAAAAATAAAGTTAGACAATATTCCAGAGTAAAATTTAAGTTGTTAAATCTACATACCATTAATGTGCAAGGTATTACATTGCCAAGTGATCTAACAAACGCAGCTCGTGTACGGAATTACATTATCAAGTGATTTACAAACGCACTCCTGGTGGACATATACCATATTTCACCAGTATCCATCACGCTTTGACGTCTACTGAGGTGAACAGCTAATCAGCAAGTTACATTTTTGTGTTAACCTGCAACGTTGGCAATAATGCATTGGGTGTAAATCTAATAAAACTTGTTTGAAAATATGGGTCTGTCAGTGTGTATGTTTTGTGCTATCTACCTGGAATTGACGGATCCGTTAGAATTATGTGTCCTTTGCCCATATGGGGAATTTTAAAATATTATTAATTAATTAGCTGTCATTCTACCGTAGTCGATACTCGCGAAAAAACTATTTAATTAAATTCAAGCGAATAACCAAAATTTTTGTGTTATTTACCGCGGTTATAACATGGTTTAAGATGACATACGAGTTGATGAAGTCAGTTACTCGAATTGCTTGAACGCCTTGGTTTTAACCGCGGTTTTGTTGCAAGTTGTTTATTTTGGAAAAGTGCATATAATTTCTAATTATTTTTATTATCACTTAATAATCGGTGCTTTTTCGTCTAGAACAGTGTATGGATGCTTTATAAAATAAACCTTTCATAATATTAATGGGAGAAAGTTTTATTTCAGAAAAATTTAATGATGGAACCATGGCTTTGTTGCTATGGTAACCTTCAATTCTTTAAACTTGTCCGCATGTTAAAGAAAACATTTATTGATTTAGCAGAAATGATAGGAAAAAGAGATGAAAAAAGATATTAGCAAAACCGTATACAGGTGGACATTATCCAGTGAGTTTATATGACCATATTTTAATATTCTTGTGGTATATGACTATAGTCAACGCCAAACAAAGTGACGTGCACGTCATCAAGGTGGGTGTGTTGAAAAATTTACATTGTTGCCAAACTTTTTGTAAAATAATAAAATTTATTATTTACATATCTAGGTTTATAAGCAATATTAACCTCAAATGAGAACAAAAATAATAGTATAATAAAATTATAGATCTGTACTTGCATAATCATTAAGTATGACAATTATTGATCAGATGACACTATGAAACTACCATATTTAATTGATAGCTTAAAGGTACTGAATAAAAATCCAAATGGGGTCCTCCAAATTTTATGCATGGTATTTATTTTACAGAATTCATACAGAAAAATGCATTCTAAAATTAGGTAAGCTACTGGTGTAAGCTTTTTCTGTACAATAAAGTTAGTCGGAGTTTCTTTCTTCAGCGCTGTCTGAATCTGAATCTTCATCACTCTCAAAGTTGATTATTAAAGGTTCGATGTCTGGTCGATCAAAAATTCGTTCTCTTTCATACCATTTAAAAATTTCTTGCTCAGTATGTCGAACACTATTTTTCCACATGTCTGGGGTAACCGTTTGTAGAGCCTCGTTCCACATATCCAAACAGTCTTTTTCACTGTTACCATCTCTACCAATATGTCTGTTATAGTAACCTTTTGCTATGCCCCAAATTAACTCAATAGGGTTAAATATACAATGGTAAGGAGACAGACGAAGAACTTTGTGCCCATGTTGTTCCGCCAATTCATCAATCACGTATATTTTAGGTGGTTTGTTTCTAAAAAAGCAGTTATTTTAAGAATAGGAATAAACAAAAGAAATATAAACTGTCGACCAAAATATATATAATTAAGAAGCATTATGTACCGAGCAACAATACTCAATAGCTCTGTTTTAAACATTGTGTTTAAAAATGGTATGTTTTGATTTGTCAACCAGTCTTGGATATTTTTTTTTTGTCCATGCATTGTTGGGCACTTTGTTCAATATCATGCTGTGATAAGGGGCGTTATCCAGTATAATCATAGATGGACTCTCCAATTTTTCTAATAACTGATGTTGAAACCATTTCAAAAAATTGTCCTGGTTCATCTCTCCATGGTAATCGCTCAATTTTGTTTTCGAAGAAAATATCGCTTCACTACCCTCAATAAACCCATTTTCATTTCCAGCATGTAATATAATGTATCTAAAATATATTAGTTTTAAATTTTATAGTGCAAATTGTGTAAAAGTACATACCTTTTACCATCTGTTTTAATAGCTTTCACGCTTTTTTGGTTTCCATTTTGCCAAGAGCGACCTATGGTCCAATTTTGAAATATCCAAGTTTCATCGAGGAAGACAAACTGGTATAAGGCCTCAACCTTGGCTTGATTGTATTGCCTTAGAAATTCCACCCTTTTCAAAGCTATACTTGGTAGTTCCATGAGCCCTCGTCGCGGATTGTCCTTAAGCCACTTAAATCCAAGATCTCTAAGCAACCGCCTTAAAGACGTGGCACTACCATCAAATAATGTCCTATCTCTTAATCGAGACCATAAAGTTTGTATCGTAACTTGTTCTTCTGAAACCATGTGTAATATGACATTATAATTTAGTTAACAAATTAATGCAAATTTCTGATAAGTTATTATAATAAGATCTTACTTTTGTGATACATATTATAGATCACTTCTCGAATGGCACTTGTATCCAATGTCGCTGTGTTGGTTACACGTTTAATATAACTCCGCTTTTTCTTGGGCGATTCTAAATTTGCATCACTTTTCACACCCTCGGAAATACGACTAACTGTCCTTAAACTAATTTTTAAAGCAGCAGCAACACGCTACAAAAAATGAAATAAAATTTCACTATTATTAATATACATTACATATAATTATTAGTAACCTACCTCTTGAACAGCATTTAAAGGCAACAAAGGCCCGTTGTTGTCCCTTTCTTGCTCAAAGTAGTGCATTAACGAGGCCACGAGTTCCTTACACCGACTATTTAACTGTTTGGGCATCTTTATATACCAAAATTGCCTTTATCTACTCGTAAAATGAATAATTTTGTTTTGAAACAAACAGTTGTTGATTTACAGTATTGTCCAAGTTATAAAGATTACTGCCACAAATGATTCAGTGTCAACTAAAATGTCAGTTCCAGTTTAATAAGTTTCAAGTGACAATGTGTCAACCTGCGATCGTTTTAGTGGTTTACATGTCGATAAGTGTTGGAGCGTTTGCAAAACATTTTATTTCGCATAATGCGTCTAATTTTCAGAAGCAATTATGTGATCTTTTAAAACTTTTTATATGACTTTACATAATAGAGATAATGACCATTTTACATTTATTATCCATTTATAAACTGCATAGAGCAATTGTTTGTGATAGAAACTGGCAATTAGGTCGGGGAATTTTATCGTGAGACGTCACGCCACTTGTTTGGCGTTACTATACACATGATACTTTGTTAAGCAATAGGAACTAGATTTAAAGTGTCCCCAACAACAGTAATAATAAGGTGCTCTACTTTATGCTGCAACTGAAGTCAGCCTGTATCAAGTTTCTCAAAAATGAAGCTGAAGTACAACAACAAAAATATCCAGCACCCGCCAAAATTCTAACTTGTCACATTTCAAATCATAAGCAGAAATATAAAACTACTGCGGAGTAGGGTAAATACCACAATTTCACGGTGATAACTATGACATATAACAGCTGATTCATGACGTCACGGATCTTCTAACCAAAGTGATAACCACACTCGCTTGAACGGATCGGTAAACACCAATCCAAAATGGTAAATACCATTTTCATTTGGTTATTCACTGAATTTGATTTTTGTTTTGTTTTGTGGTGCGTCAAAGGGTCAAAGTGTGCAGAAGCCAATAGCAGGCTAAGTTTAAAAACAATATTTTAAATTTTCGCTAATTAACAAGCTTAGCTTACGTTGAATATCGTATTAAATAAATAGACCAAACAAACAATTGTCAGGTCGTTTGAGTCATTTCCAGTGAAAAAGAAAATATGAGAGAAATTTCTCAATCCCAGGGATTGCTTGCAGACAAGTTTGAATTTTTAGGACATTTCGATATTTCAAGTGAAGATCCAAGAAACGGCCTATTCTTCCAAGAGATATATATACCCGAAGAAATGTTATTGAATATTCTGAGCTGGGTACCCCCAGATATGCTTCTACCTCTAAGTTTGGTTTGTAAAAGGTGGAGTAACATAATTAAATCTACTAGACTTTGGTGGGACATTCACAAACGGATTAAATGCAAGAGAAAAAGTAGAAGACTCCCTTGGTATGTTTACTACTCTTACCATACTACAAATAATTTCAAGAACCTCATAAAAAATGGGAATGGCCAACAACATTATAAGCATTGGAAGGTATCTAGGAAAAATGTCTTTCACCGCACCAGGAAGCTTCAAATTGAGGATCCACCCAGAGGTATCTTAATACTGAATCTTAACTGACTGTAGTATATTTTTGCACAAAAATTACTCTATTGATTGTAGCTATTTTCTTGAAGGTACTGAACCCCTACCAAAGAATATTCCTGACTTTGATGGACATACCAGTTGTTTTGTAACCAGCTCTGAAAATACTCGCCTAGTGCAAGAGATCCCGTTGTTCAAAAAACATTTACTTTGTTACATTATGACAAAGTTTAAGCCACGTATCTACTGCAGTGCATGGATGGCAAGCAGATTTGACAATGAGAGTATCCTTCAACTTATAGTTAAAGGTTACAGCAATCCAGAATACAATAATGACACACTTGTCATTTCTATGTCAAAGGAGGTATGTGTTATATGGTGGTTTTTACTTCCTTATCTAGCTGTCAGAGTAGCCAGAAACATATGGCAATATTTTTAGTATGGTCTAGTTATAGAGCTATGTTTGGTATTTTAAACTGATTTACATCTAATACTGAACTGTTCGAATCCTACTTAATGTAAGTGGCTGTACAATTTTGTCAGTCACCTCTGCCCAATTTTATAGTGATTCTGATGAGAAATTCTGTCAAGTGTATCTGTCTACACATTGCAGAAAATATTGGCAAGATATAGCATTATACAGCAATCTCATGATGGCTGGGCTATAGTTGAAATATAGCCAAATATTGCCATAAAGATATTGCCGCTTTAGATGCAGCATAAGCTATCCTTTGATAAGATACCCATAATAAAAATTTAATTTATTACAGATAGTTGTACATCGATGGGAAGGTGGTGACTGGCACAAAATAGAAATTGCTATAGATAGTTTCCCAAAAAACTTGGCAGTGATCACTTTTGAGCATGGAAATGGTGACCCACCTGATACTGGACAGCACTACAGTTCAAGTAGATATCGCTGTAAAATGGCTGGTGGAGTAGTTCAGATTGACTTTGATAGCATTCAAGGTGTCTCAGCAGATCTAAAGAAGGGCGAAGATATGGACTGTTGAATTCTACCACATCAGGGTACTTGATCCCTTTCATATCAACTCTATAAGGAGTACGGAGGGAGGAGAAATAAAACATTGAAATTGAAAGATTAATTTTGTATTAAAGTCTGCCCACTTACTATGTACATTAACAGTTTCATAATTGGTTCAATAGATCCATAAACTAAACAGGTTCTATACACAATACATAATAAATCAACAATCATCAGACATTTCCATTCTTCTAGGAAAATAGCCTTTCACTCTATATGCTGTAAATCATCAAAAAAAAGATACTGATATGCTTACAAACTAAATTACAAAAAATATGTGGGTATATCTTTCAAAGTTGTCATCCACTGAAATGTCTTTTAACAATCTACGGTTTCTTGATTTTTTGATTAATAAATATTGATAAATTACTGTGTTATGATTTTATATGTTTACAAAAACAGCAAATTCTCATGTTATGAAATTACAACAATATCAAGCTGATATGAATAAAATTAAAAAAGCAATAAATGATCTTTTGTTGAAATAAATACATCTCAGAAAATGACAATTGATGATGGTAGTATAAAGTATAAAAAAAGAGATTGAAACAAGGAATTGCAATCTCATTTCAAGCTTAAAGTAAGTGTAAATAAATCCATTATGAGAGTTCAAACTGAATATAGGTTTTTTCTTTGATGAAAGGAATAATTTATGGCTAAATCAGTATATCTGTCCATCTTAAAATTTTGAATACCTTGTAACTGAGAAGTGAACCATCTAAAGCAAGTGCTTTATTGGGTGTTAAGTAAAAGTATGCTCTTAAGACAAAAATCCTTTTTTTCAGCAATTTGAAAACAATTTCTGTATAATGTTGATCTATGCTCTATATGCATATGTACTGGTATTGATATATAAAAAAATCACCCTTAACATCTAGAAGAACTAAATATATTGATAAATAAATTAAATGTTATTCTACAAATCAATTAAGAAATGGGTGTCCAACTTATGTCTGTAGGATGCAGCAACTCGCAGCTTGAATAAACCAAAGCCAAGTCAACACTAATATAAGTTGAGAATGTTCCAAAACTGCTCATGCATGCCTTGATACAAAAGAACATATGATCCCTAGCACTTGAGTGTCCCCTTGATCTTGTCTATCAAGTGTCGCTTCACACGTTTATTTCAAAAATCATTTTGTTTGTATAACTGAGCTTGACTACAGATGTCAAGTTATAATTTCTATTTTCAATCATAATGTTGTACAACTTAAAAGAACTAGAGTATTGATTCAATAGATCTTTTTGAATTTTTTTTATTTTTGAATGCCTATAGATATGTCAGTAAAAGAAAAAGTTTCTACAATCAGGTCTACACCTTTTATCAAATTGTGAAATTTGAAATAAATTTCAGAAATTAAAATTGTCATACAACACGAGATTAATTGACAGCTTCAGAGATAAGTATTCTCATTTAAGTCTACTCAAGCGTAAATGTGTTTACTCCAAAAAAATAAATGACTACAAAATTTGATATTGGTTCATTATATTAGAAGAATTTACATTTCAACTTCATTCTCAAGCAAGTTTGTGTTGTATTCTACCCATGAGTAAATGTATTTATCTATATGCAGCAAAATGAAGGTCCATACAAAAATGATTTAGAAATGTGTATGCGTATTTTCATTTTTGTTGTCTGTTTAATCAGATGATGCAGAATGCCTACGTTTGGGATTATTTCATAACAGAAGGTGCAGTAACAATTTTAAGCTTTATTGCTACTAAAGATTAAACATTTTTATTTCTTTTCCATATAGATTTATAATAAATATCTACAATATTTTACACATTAAAAAAATAGTTATAGATATATAATTTCATTCAATAACAACTTAGTAATTAAATTTCCAATTTTAGTATATTTATGAAAATCAATCAATGGCTTCAATATTGAACCTCTTAATATAAAAAAAGTTTAGCCAAAATATTGGGACATATAATAAACATGTTTTATAGGTCAGGCAAATCGCAAAATCTATATGTGAGTCTAATCATTCTTAAAGATGTTCTATGAAATAAATGCAGCATTTGCTACAGGTTCAGTTCAAAAAATAATATAAAAACAATAATATTTTTTGTACTTTCTTCCAAAACATTTTTTATTAGCTGTATATCGCAGATATTTTTTAATCTACTATTCCTTCCTTATTGTTTGCTATTTACAATATCGTGTTCTTAGGCACTGAATATGACATAATATATATATATATATATATATATATATATATATATATATATATATATTTATATCTGATAAAGCTTAATACATAAGGAAAAAACTCAAAAATAACATGAATAGATATTTTTATTATTTTGCAATGTTGTTTATATGGGTTATTGTATAAAATAACACAATTTGCTGCATTTTTAAGAGATAGGTAAAAGCATCATTTTGAATAATGAACTTCCGTTTCTATAATGTAGATTACTAAATCTTTATTTGAGTAAATTCAAGGTACATCTGTGAGTGTGAGTGACTCAACATCATGATAAAGTATTTCGTATACAGTCACGAAAGATGTAGTGAAAATAATTCTTCGTCATTGGTCATAAATTAAGTCAATATCCCATAATAATTCAACCAAAATTGAACAAACTTGGGGTAGGCACTTAAAAATTGTCTCAATACCAACTAACAAGTCTACTTTATGACGCGTTAGCTGTAATTTGTTGTAAATGTCTATCAACTGCACCGTTTTCCAAGATTTCATAAAGTTCTTCATGTCCCTAAAATGTACCAAAAATATGAAATTAACTCTTTCGAGTGAGTATTGTGAAGAATTAAGTGTTATGTTGATATAATGTTCTGAAGAAAACTGCATGATGTATTCTTGGAATTTGGTGTTTCATCCATATGGTACCATTATGAAAATATTCACAGACCAGTATTACGAGGCGTTTGTATACTTCAATCAATTAGTGGCCTATAGACGGGTGGATAACATAACAAATCTGATGCGACGTATAAGATTCGTACGAATCCAAGCTAGAGATTTCATCTGTTCCTTAGAACATACGCACAAATCTGATTGGCTGACTTTGTATTCTGGTTAGTGGTGATTCGTCAGATCCAGATATGCCGCTTCCGCATTATACGGATTATCCGCTCATCTATAGACCTGTAATGTTTGGATTTCCAATTGATCCGAGTATCCCATAGGTTTCCCCACTGACCGCATTCTTCGGATTGAACATGTTTACCGATTCATGATTCAATTTTTTAGTTGGGATGCGATTTTGTTTATTCAGGACCTGTTGGCTTTTGTGATCTGTAAGATTGGACTATCCGGTCTCTGAGGCTTTCTGGGTACGGTTTGAGGTATCACCGTTAGCGACTTCGGTATTTTCGGCAGGATGTTGGCGCCAATCTTCTCTACATGTTTGTCCAATTTCTCGAGGATGTTTTCGTTGGATTCGCTGCCATTCAGTTCTGTAGGCTGAATGAAATAATTGGTTAATAGAATTTTTGTAAATAAGGTACGTCATTAAGTGGCATCAAGTAATTTAAAATGTGCAACGTCTTTTTGGTGTTGCCCTCCAAGCATAAAATAAAGGGGAATTATCTTTTGGATATGCATCATATTTAAAAAAAAATCAGGTTCAAAATACATCTATCTGCTTTTAAATTGGTGCTGTGGTAACTAATAGAAAATAAATAAACTATCAAAACACCCCCAACCTTACCTTATGTTTTGTCTAGTTTTATTTTTTGAATTAAGATCGAAAGTATCAGAATTTGAACATTTCGTTTGAATTGTTTCAAAATCACCATTAATATTTTTTTAGCTGCGCTCAAAAGTAATCGTGTACAAAAAATGTGAATTCCTTGAGATATATATTTTCAATACTATTGTTTAGCGTTGTTACCTATTACTATCTCCATGTCAGATCTTTCCTCTAATAATACGGCACATGTAGGATCTTCATGGTACAAAACTCGATAATAGACAGTTATCATAAGTCGAAGTTGAGGAATATAGGTATCTGCCTTAAAAGTCCCTTATATGTTGCAACCACAAACATCATATATATGTACACATACGACAGTAACTTTTGATCCCTTTGATCTTGGTGTCGCCACTTATTCGACGACCGCAGAAATTGTTTCACGGGAACGCAGAAAATGTATGGTTGTGTTCTCGAAGAAATCTACATTCTCATAGTAATTATATGATTTATTGACAAAAACAGTTCCAAAATACACCAAAAACATGTTTTTATTGTGTGACCTACTTTATCAAAATTATTGAATATGGCACAGTGACAGTGACAGAAATAGTATCAAATGCAAAGTACCTGTTTTGTGATTTCATTTCATTCTTTTTTTGGTGTTCCAAACGTATCACCAGAAACACAGCTTTTCAGATTTCCCAGAGAATAAGTACTGTTTACATGTGCCTACCAAGTCATGTGTGTATCAACACTGACACCCAAAAAGTTTACTGTGTCTATGGTATTAACGTTATGGTGACAAAAACTTATTACTATGGACTGTGTCTTTGAAGCATTAAGTTTATTTGCTAAAAACCAATTTTCTAAATTTATTATTTATTCCATATTCGCAGAGAAAAGTAGATCAATTGATTTGCTAATACAGATCATTGTTGTGTCGTCGGCAAACAGTATAAGGTTTTTGTTTGCATTACAGTTAGGAAGGTCATTAATGTATATTAAGAATAAGCTGTCGCTGTCGCCTCTGGTACTACTCTGTGTTTCAGCTTAGATGACGTGTTGTCTTGACTTGTTAAACATCTGACATAAACAATAATAATAATTGTAACTTCGACACTGTCACTGTGACACATTCAAACAATTTTGAAAAGGTAGATCACGGAATAAAAAACAAATGTGGTGTCTTTTGGGGCTGTTTTTTTATTTCGAGAAATAAACAGTGTATTTAGTATTTACTGTGTCACATAATATGAGAAGTTAGATTTCGTAGGGAGCACAGCCATACATTTTCCATTTGCGCACTTTGAAAAAAAAATGGCGTCAAGTGGGTTGACTCTGCACTTTCTTCGCAACGCTGTCGTCAGTTCATAAAGGATCAAGTTCAGCGCAATTTAAATCTTCTGAGAAAAATTGTGTTGATATGTATAACAGAGGAAACTAAACGCATTAAGTTATTCAAACAGACCCATACAATTAGTTAATACATATTCTTATTCATACCCTACTGGTAGTTACCGGCCATGTGGCGAGTTATCCTTCCACCGGGCATCTCTGGCGAGTTACTTCGCTTCGTACAGTTCCATATCTTATTCTGCGCTTCAGTACGGTTCAATACAGGTGCGCGGCATCTCGGGTTGTGAGGGATAAAAACAGTTTTCTATCTTTTGCCTTTCGTAAAAGAGTCCATAGGAGATACATTACAGCTTTTCATGGCTTCAAAAAAGCCCGTGTTTCTTGTGCGCTTAAATCAACCCGCAGACATTGCCGGTAATGTTGGTGGCTGTAGTAGGAGTTGAGGCAACCAAACTTTGGTCGCTACGTTTTGTTCACTGACGAGTCCTGTTTTACAAAGGACGGTTATTTTAATAGCCATAACAGTCACATTTGGGATAAAGAAAACCCTCATGCCATAGCCATCCATAGAGACCAACATCAGTTTTCAATTAACATCTGGTGCGGCATTGTGGACGAGCATATCATCGGGCCATATCTGCTTCCACCACGTTTGGATGGGCATGCTTATGGTCGATCCTTACAGCATGTGCTACCGGAACTATTACAAAATGTGCCACTGAATATAAGAGCCAACATGTGGTTTCAACACCATGGCGGTCCAGCCCATTTTTCTTTACAAGTGCGGCAGTATTTGGACGACAAATTTCCAAATAGGTGGATAGGCCGAGGTGGCCCTGTGCCTTGGCCTGCGCGGTCACTTGACCTGACCACACTGGATTATTTTATCTGGAGCTATCTGAAAGCTTTAGTGTACGAAACTCCTGTTCCCAACCAACAAGAGCTACTGGGAAGAGTGATGGCCGCGTCCGCACATGTTCAGGACATACCGGGGGTATGCCACAGAGTTCGCCGATCATTGAACAATCGTGCACAGCTGTGTATTGAGCAAGGTGGAGGATACTTTGAGCAGTTACTGTAGGTAAGCTGTTTCAAGAAACTGATCTTTTTTTTTGCTGCAGCCCAAACGGCATATTTCCGAACAGGGGTTTATAAGGAAAAATTGTTCATTTTGATGCCCTCTACAACCCCTATCATTTTGTCGCAATAATTATGGAACACCCTGTATAAGCCGGGCTGATTCGCCAGGCGGTCCGCTTACATAGGCAGGAGTTCGCGGATAGAAAACATTTCGCTATCATTGTTTTAAAATCAAACGTCCTGGTAAATCTATGATAAGTGAAGTATTTCTAGTAGGTGATAGAATTACAGGGGTTGGGGGTGTATACATCTACTAAGATCACAAAAATTCCGTATATTCTCCCCTATCCCAACAACCCCCAACCCTTAAATTTTAACCCCTACAAAATGTTTTCCGATAATGATCAGGACCCTACAAAACGTAAAAAAACTAAGTTTGAGCAATTTTCATTGTCTTCGTGCTTTTATCCATAGCCCCGCCATCACTAGACTGATTTCAAATAAAAAACCCTAAAGCTTTTTAATCCTTTGCATAGTTGTAACCTTGTGTGAAAATTTCATCCAAATCAGAGCGTTACTTCTCAAGTGATAAAATTAGCGGGCCGGGCGACAGACAGACAGACCGACGGAACTGAGCGACTAATAGGTGCATAGAATTACAGAGGTTGGGGGCGTATAAATCTACTGAGATCAAAAAATTCCGTTGATACCAAAATTCATTTCGTTATATAATGCTATAACGGTATGTCCGGTCTTCGTCTGAACCTGTATATCTCGAAAACTGTTAATTGTCGAACATTGCGTCTGACTAAAAATGCGAGGTACTGTATCTGAGAACCTATACATCGTAGAGGCTTGCGGCAAAAAAGTTCTTACTAAAAGAGCCAAGAGAAAAACCTGTAAAATATTTTAGCCGCTAGGGGACGCATCTGCAATCTTAAATATAAAAAAGTGGTGTTTCTGTGAAATCGGTTATATTAACCTAACAAAAAAATACCTGATGTTTAAAATCGAGCAAATGTGAACTTTTTTGTTAGACAATTTTTGCTGCAAAGATTTCCGTAAAAAACTAACTTCGAAACGGCTGAGACGATTTTAACAAACACGGGCTAGTTGAAAAGAGCTATTCTTGGGCTACAAACGTTATAATATCTGAAGATTTGTTAGTTTTAAGTATGGCCGCTAGAGAGCTTTTTTCGACATTCTGAAAGAAATGTTTAAGTTTCCCAAAAAAATTAAATGCATTTGGTATGATTTTTTCATCAAAAACTAGCTAGATAATGAAAAACAAGCTCGCGAAAACAACATCTTGATATCTTCAAAATTTAGGCCAAAGAAAATTTTATATGGAAATCCCATAAATATGTTTTTCAAACTAATTTTTCTTCAATTCTTTTTTATTAATCAGAATAAAGTCACCCTTTTTGAAAATATTACAAAATATCGCTAAAAGGTAAGTAAGTAATGCTAATAACAAAAGTCATATTTTTTGTTTAAATGCATATTCACGATGTGTATATACGAAAAAGACAATTAATAGAAGTAGGCCATGGAATACAACAAAACAAATACCTAATCAAAACATAAATACTGTAATCCTCAAATTGTCAATAGTTTTGCGTTACTTTGAGCAATTTTTGTGCTTACCAAATGTGTTTTATGAACGATGAAGCTGTTGATATGCTTGCAGTTTATTGTGAATGTCTTCAGAATGTTGCAGCAGCAGTGGGAGCTTACGAGCCAATGGTAGTTTTCGGCCTACGTTCCAACGGCAAACAATTGGAAGAACATAAGAAAATATTAACCGCATACTGGGATCTTATCGTCAGTCGTTCTTACAATTGTAGGACGCCTTTATGGCCTCCTTGATTTTCATAGTCTTTTCTCTCCTTCAGAGAGGCTGGGTTATTTCTAGACTTCTTCTGTTCCGTGTCAGCGTCAGCGCTCTCCTATTGGGAGGCTATGTTTTCTTTTTGAATTGCAAGAAATTTCAGGCTGATATAAAAGATGATAGAAATCAAACTCATGAACCGTCTGATTCAAATAGATATTTGTAACATAACCTCAAAACGAGCGCGGATACGGCACAGTAGAAAACTCTGAAAATCAAGGAAGCCATAAAAGCGTCCTACAATTGTGGGAACGACTGACGATACGGCCCTAAGTCTGTTTTCATGGCCTTCGCGATCAACAGAGTTAACTGGTCTTGATTTTTATTTATGAGGACGGTTAAAATGCAACGTGTTTCAGACTCAACCTACAACCAGAGAAGTTATGAAAAACCGGATTCGTAATGCAATACGTAATATAATACCCAGAGTCGAAATTGAAG